CTATGAAACAACATGACCCTCTTCTATTTTATAATGCCTATTAATATTATAATATTATAATGACGGGAACTGGTAATATGCATTGTATTACATTTTCAAAGTAACTTGCCCAACACTGTATATCATATATTATATATTCAATATAATTACTCATATAATTAATATAAAATGCAGTATAATATATATTAAGTATGATTCCTTATCTCTGTAACTACTTGAAACACACCTTGTTAAGTTTTAAGTCTCACCAAGATCGACTCAGCACTTACCTGTAGCGTCCTCTCTCACACAGTGGTCCTGCAGCATCACTCCTCCGCCACAACCCAGTGCTCCTACAGCAGGTTACAAATATACAAGATTACATATCTAATACTGTGATAGAATATATGTTTAGCATGATCATATGTATAACACAGTAATATATACATACATTTGGTATTTAGAATAATTCCCCATTTAGCCTGGTATGGTCAAAATTACTTATCTTGTGTTTTAAATCTCATTCAGGTCCTCAAACTTCCCTCTCACTTCGCTATCAATGTAATGTAATATCAACTGAGCTGTAACATATTATAGACAGGTATACGCAACAGAATCACAAAGCCTAAAAAACAGACCATAAGTTCCGTTTTTGTTTCATTTCACCTCCTCCACTCAACAATCACGCAGCAATGTCATATTTAACTGAGCTAATATCTAACTCAGACTGGCTCGCAAAAAATCAGGACTGGAAGCACTCTAACTTCCCAATGTTAGATAAAATGGTTTAGGAGAAGACAATTTAAAACTAACAGGCTGTTCATGGTTAGCATTACCTGTATGGTGTGTACAGTATGTACAGTGTCCTAGTCTAATCTGTTATCTTATCTTTTAACATTACATAAATCTACTAATTTAATTGGAGTTAATCCACTAACAAGCTTTAATACACATGCTAATTTAGATAAGTTGTGCTGATAATGTAAAATTTGAGTCTTTGGACATCTTACCCGTTAAAAGTACATCACAGCCAGTCTTTTCTGCTGTAACTCCATTGCGCTGCTAGCATGTGCCGCTTATTTCCGGAAACTATTGAGAGGCTCCGCGATCCGCCATTGCTGTGAAAAAATGGCCCATTAGAGTGAACGGAGAAGACGCGACTCTCTATTCAAGGGCTCTGGTCGAAAGGAGACAGTTGCATTTTGAAATCAGTGATGCCTATTGACTGCTAAGTCCCTCCTGTACAGTAGTTGGCGCTATGTACCACAAAGCGTTGTAATCCACCTTCATTAGGAGAAGAAGAATAATCGCCACAGAAAAGAGGAAGATCGGCCCAATCCCAAACCGGCCCCTATCCCCTTGCCCTATTCACTCCCCCTCCGTTTGCGCGGTCACGCGGAGCTTCGCCATATTAAGGGCCGTCCCAAACCATTTATCGCTGAGTGCGAGTGGACTGCTCAGCCCTTAGATAGCGAGTGTGCATCAGTGCAGGCTTCTGATGAGCCCAGCAGGAAGCGCAACATCACAATTGAGGAAACAATGTACAAATGAAAGAGTTCCGTCTTTCTACTTTGTAAAATATTTTAGATCAAACACTCACATTTGTTTTTCCTCACCCTGACTTTACAGTCTCAAACAAACTCAGAATGTTTGGTGTCAAAAGATGAAAACCTCCACGTCCATATGCTCAAATAAACTATTTAAAACTGTCTAAAAAAATTTCTCATCCCATTCTCATGATTTTTTTAAAAAAAAATCTATAATTCTTTTATCTGACTTATCCAAGATTATTTTTAATATAACTCATTTTAATTAATATTTAAATGTTTTTTTTTTTTTATAGCCTGTTGCTCTATTTTGCTTTCACAAAGCGTATGTCGGTATCCATGGTTACATCTGCTTCCTTCTTCCGGTAGAGTGGTGAGGGCGTCCCATGGTTTGGCTTCTCTTTCATACACTTCCCCTTAATCAGGAGTGCCCTCCGCAGCTGCGAGTGTAACTTGATTTGGAGTGACACTCGGTAGTGAAGTGGTAGTGGGTAGGGAGTGGTTTGGGATTAGGCCATCGTTTATCGTTGCTGGAGTCCCTTGAGCCAGATTTGAACAGGAGATCAACAAAGTGACGAAAAAGAGTAAGAGAAGAAGGATAAATAGCCTTCATGGACAGTGAAATCCTCATTCTAAAGTAAGTTTTTTGTTGTTTTCTTATTTTTTTTTTTTTTAAATTTTTTTTTTTTTTCAGATTGGAGATTGTTTTTCTACAAGCAGAGAGCCACGGGTATCAAGCTAACGTTACATCTCATGGCGTCTAGATGACCAGTGTCAGCTTCCAACAGCCGCTCCACATTAACGTCTACATTTAATTCGGGTTGCTATTTATATTTACGTGTTTCTCCAATGATTTTAGAGGAATGAAACTAGCAGACAATCAGCCAGCTAGCTGTTTCATGCTCTGTTGGCTTAAATGAAATGTAACGTGAAGACGGTGGCTAGCCTGTCAACTAGCTGAAGAGTTTGAATATTAAACTTACATCTACAGTGGTCTATTTGCCCTGACATTTTTTTAGGCTTGAAGTGGGGATTTAATAACATTGTGTGATTGTAAGTGATGCAAGGAGTAATAAGACTGGCTTATTTTTTCATAGGGTCAGCTGAGAATGAAAAGACAGGGGGACAAGATATATGACTTCTTTTTAAAGAGAAGCACGTCAGGCAAAGATAAGGCAGACAGACAGACAGACAGACAGAACTCAGCTCTGGCATCAGCAGTCCTGGCAGCTCCCATCCTGGGACTAGTCAGGAGAGAGAATGTGAAGCATAACACAGCCCATCATCACCAGGTCAGAGCATCTACAGAAGCAGTCACATGCTCAGTTCAGTAATTTTAAGTTACAGGGTTCCTACGCAAGTATGGAAAGTATGGAAAAATATGGAATTTGATTTTATACATTTCCAGGTCTGGAAAAGGTATGGAAAATGGAAACTATTGTATATGGAAATATATTTATCTTAATACTTATCTGGGTTATCTGAAGATATTTGGGTTAATTATTTTGTATGCACTACTGTACCTAGCTACAATCTCCTGGAAATAATTTGGTGACATAATGGCATACAAATTCAGAATAATGAAAACAAACGATTAATTGCATAATTTATTCACATGATACACATCTAATTACTCAAATGTCACAAATTATTTGAATTTTTTTACCGAGAAGTCTGGGAATTAGGGCCTGGAAACAGTATGGAATTTTGCTATGTGAAGTTAAGTTTTAGTTATTTTGAAGTGTTGGTTACTGATAATGTGTGTTGTTGTTTTTTTAATGGTGGTTGCATTTTGATTACACTAATATTTTTTATTTTTATACAATGTAGTTCCATTGAGGGAGGACACAGAAGACATAGGTGGCAGCTCCCATCCTGGGACTAGTCAGGAGAGAGAATGTGAGGCACAACACAGCCCATCATCACCAGGTCAGAGCATAGACAGAAGCAGTCACATGCTCAGTTCAGTAATTAAGTTTAGTTTTAGATATTTTGAAATGCTGGTTACTGATTTGTGTTGTATTTTTAATGGTGGTTGCATTTTTATTTTGATTACACTATACAATGTAGTTCCATCGAAGGAGGACACAGAGGCCTCTGATTCTGACGAGGATATTGGTGAGCCAGAAGAGCCAGACCCAGAGCCACCTGTGTCCAGCACTGCTTTTGCTGGTCCAAGAGGACCCAGTGGTAGGTCTACTTACCTGAAACTTGCTAGTTAGCTGCAGTTATCATCTAATAATCTTCTGGATCCCTTAACTGTGTTTCCATGACCATTTTATTTGTATTCCAGATATTTCAAGATGCAAAGAGGAGGGTCCAGTTCCAAAGAGTGCAACTTTCTTAAATGAGGAGCCTCTGTTTGCCTTTGCACAGACCTTTGAGTCAGACCTCAGTGACCTTAAACATGAGGTTCACCAAACCAAGCGACTTCTTGACAGGAGAGTGAAAAGTGGATTAGACAGACCATCTACTTTGCTTTATTTTATTGTGTTTCTTGAGCCTTACAAAGAGGTTTTCCATGAGATATTCAGACTTTGCAAGATTGCTGTTGTTACTCCAGTCAACACTGCTTCCTGTGAGAGAAGCTTCTCTGCTTTAAAACTGATAAAAAACTCACCTCAGGACAACAATGGCTGATGACAGGTTAAGTCACCTTGAAACTCTCAGTATTGAGTCAAGGAGGGCATGTGCCCTCAACATGGATGACTTTGTGAAACATTTTGCGACTTCTTACCACAACCAAAGGATTATGCTTTTCTGAACCTGCATAAGGTAGTTTCACACTAAGATAGTGTCTCTGGTCATGACTAAGCTCTTCACTATGTTCTACTTAGACCAAGGATAGTTTGGGAGTCAGACAGTACCCCTTGTCATAGTTAAAACCTGCACTATGTTCAAATGTTCAAAAATGGTGTCAAATTGTTTGTTGATATATTGATGCCTTTTTTTTTGAGTGAGTGAGTGAGTAACTGTGTGAGTATCTGTGTGAGTAAGTAACTGTGTGTGTGTGTGTGTGTGAGTGAGTAACTGTGTGAGTAGCTGTGTGTGTGTGTGTGTGTGTGTGTGTGTGTGTGTGGGGTGGGGGGG